TAAATAAAAAACAGAAAATAAAATAATATATTAATTAATAATTTCATTTAAATAATAATAAAATAAAAACTAATAATAACAAAAGGACAAAAAAAACACAAAAAATCATAAAACTAATAATTTGAAACCTAAGTAGGGGTGCCATTGGCAATGGCTAGGGGTGCCATTAGCCCACCCCTTATTAAATATGATATATTATGGAATGAATTTGATGTTTTAAAATGCACAATTTCCTTGGCAATCAACACCCCCTATTAAGGGGGTGCCATTAGCACTGCCCTTTCAACAAACGACAGGGACGAAAAACGTAAATTACTCAAAATTCAATAATCAGGAAACATTCAAAAAGTGAGATCGTGGGTACAACAAATATAACATATAAGTACAAGTGATTAAAGCATGATTGCTCGAATTGATGTAAAAACCCCATTTTTTCTCCACAAATCTCTCTCATCCTCAACCTTTTCCCTCAATAATCTCTCCCCCATTCCCTAAATTCAATTCAAAACCTGACCAGATCCTTCTGGTTATCTGTCTATCTATCACTCATCGGAAGAAATGGCATTGTCGGCGCGTGAGCAGAATGTTTACATGGCGAAGCTCGCCGAGCAGGCGGAACGTTACGATGAAATGGTTGAATTCATGGAGAAAGTATCGGAAACTGATGAACTCACAGTAGAAGAGCGTAATCTCCTTTCTGTTGCCTACAAGAACGTCATCGGTGCTCGCCGTGCTTCGTGGCGTATCATTTCGTCGATTGAGCAGAAAGAGGAGTCGCGTGGTAATGAGGATCATGTGTCTGTGATTAAGGAGTACAGATCGAAGATCGAGGCGGAGCTATCGAAAATTTGCGACGGGATTTTGAAGCTGCTTGACTCGAGACTCATTCCTTCGGCGTCTTCTGGTGATTCGAAGGTGTTTTATCTGAAGATGAAGGGAGATTATCATCGTTACCTTGCTGAGTTTAAGACCGGCGGTGACCGTAAAGAGGCCGCCGAGAGCACTCTCACTGCCTATAAGTCCGCTCAGGTTAATTTTTTCCTTTTGAATTTATGCGATATGAAATTGTTGTTTGCTTTGAAAAGTATTTCACTTTGGCAATAACTGAAGAATGTGATGTGCACAAAAACAAAAACTTCTAAGATGACAGATTAGGCTTTTTCTCCCTTTGAAACTACATAATTATAAACATGCTATGAATGCTTTTTTATTTTTCATATCGTTTTTTGTTTGGATGTATCCACAATGACTGTGACTGCTGTATGTCATTGAGTTATGCATTTAGGAACCTACAATCATGTGATGTTTGTTATTTGTGTATCCTCATTGAGGATGATTGATATATGCAGATTCATATAATACAGGTGTGTGCATTATTTCAATGACTTCATTTATATTAAATGTTTTCTGCAAGGATCTATGATGAATTACAGTGATTTTTTTGCATGATTCTAATGAAGCTATTTCATTATTTTCTGGCTTGAGTTCCAATTACTGAAAAGAAATTTGTACACAAATAATAGTTTAACATACATTGAGTAGATCTTTTTGTGGTACAATTAAGGATTAAAAATATAAGTGACTGACTTATCCATTTTGGTCATCAAAAGTTAGCATAAGACATAACCTAATGTTATTATGTACGAGTTTAAGATTTTTAAAATTTTTTCTGCAGGATATTGCAAACACCGAACTTGCCCCGACACACCCAATTCGCCTTGGACTGGCTCTAAACTTCTCTGTCTTTTACTATGAGATTTTGAACTCTCCAGACCGGGCTTGTAACCTTGCCAAACAGGTATGAGCTATATTTTTGTCATAGCAACTCAGATTTATGTACCATTTGGGAACTCATTTCTATTCTTAAGGACCCTCTCCACTTCTTTCTATCTAAAGTGGCTTGATTGTGTCATTTCTCATGCTTTTCCAGGCCTTTGATGAAGCAATTGCTGAGTTGGATACCTTGGGCGAGGAGTCCTACAAAGATAGCACTTTGATCATGCAACTTCTTCGTGACAACCTCACCCTGTGGACCTCCGATATGCAGGTATAAATGATGTTTTCCTCTTATTCCACATTTCTAAAAAGAGAGTCATTAACACGGGATAGAGCAATTGAGCCTGGCCAGGCCTTGTAGGTCTCCATTCCAGCAAACCAGGACCAATTCCACTACAATCATATCCATATGGTCTCCATGGTCCTGTCTTTTTGTCTCTCTACGGTTTAGAACTTTAGATGTTAAATTCTTTTGTTTTGTTGATATTTGGATTGTTGTAGCGCAACATTGGTTAGACATGAACCATCAAACCTATATATATATATATATATATATATATATTTCCATCACTGTTTCAGAAAGAGATTCAAAGGGGTTCCATATCTCCTCAGATGGTATTTGAGCCGAGGTCTAGCACCACCTAGGGACTCGACACACTCTTTTGCATTTTTTCTTGGGGGCAGTGTGGCACGTTTTGCCTCATTTTGAGGGGGCATATTAGAGTCTTTCATCAGCTAGATATGGACCATCAAACATGTGTGTGTTGGAACTCCTCTGTGTGTGTACGAGGGCTCTTTTAGAGAGCGATTCAAAAGGGCTCCATATATTCCCACATCAATCATTTAGAGAGATTCAAAAGAGTTCCAATTTTTCTCACATTGATCTTCTAAAGAAAGATTCAAAAGGGTTCCACGTATTCCCGATAAAAACATGAATTCTGGTTTTGTTGCTATTGCAGGAGGATGGAGCTGATGAAATTAAGGAAGCACCTGCTCCAAAGCAAGGTGAGGAACAACAACAGCAGTGAGAGGGTTTGCACCCTCATCTTAACCTTTCTTTATCTTTCTTTCTTTCTTTTTTAATTTTATTAAGGAGAATTTGGTTGCATATAGCTTCCAACTTCTCCATCTTTATGAATTCTTTTGGTCATCTTCTAATTTAGTTTCATCTTCTTAATGATTCAAGTGTTTTGAATGAATTATAATCGCTTACTTTTGTGTATTGATACATCGATATCATCTTCTTCATTCTTTCCCACATGTAGTTTGTTCTACAAAGCTTTTGCCACAAAGTTTATAAACTATGTCTTAGGGGTTAACACAGGATTTGAAATACCAACACAATGTTTTTTTTTTTTTTTTGAAGTATATAATATTTATATACGACAAATGCAACAAATAAACTCACACACCCTCCTCACCTATGGTGAGTTTTGAACCCCTGACCTTCTAGAAGGCCAAGGGCTATGATACCGCTAGGTCAAAGGCCCTTTGGTAATACCAACACAATGTTTGTGGCTTGAAAAATGAAAAATCCCAACCCAACCCAAATAGTGTGGGTTGGGTTGGTCAAGTTGAAACTTTTAATACGTCAAAGTATTCCCATATGCGTGTTACCTTGAATATGGTGTTTTCTCTACTTATAAAATTTATGTATGTTAAGAGGGAAACGGTCTAACAATCTAACGATCTAATGTACATATTAACAAGGGACTTATTAAGTTGGGTTTGTCGAATTAATTAGGGGTTTTCTTTTCACCCTGATATGCCTCATGATTGGAATCTAACACCAAGTTGCTAAAAAATTAGAATTTTGGTCGATAATCAAATGTTTTTAGTGGCTATATTTTGGGAAAACTCTAGCATGGGACCTCTTTTGTTTTAACCTATACTTATATTATAAAGCATGGTAAAAATATTTATAAATAACTAGCATGGGAACTAGGTATAGTACGGTAGTATGAATATTTTGTTTATATAAATATGTTAGTTGTTAATAGAATAATCAATATATAGTATTCAAATAATTTAAAAAAGTTAATAAAATTTAATTAGTGAAATTTTAATATATACATATATACACACATATATATATATAGAGAGAGAGAGTTATTTGTTTAAGAATAAAGTTGTAAAATTAAATAAAACGATTAATAATAACGACGAGGTGTGGATAATTTATGTATTGTTTGTTTGATTAATGATGATGTTTTTTTCTTTTTAAAAAGATGATGATACCTCTGTCGATTTTTATTAAAAAATAAATAAGTGTACATCTAAATTGCTCAGTAACTAATTATATATACAACAAATATGGTAAATATAAACTTAATCTATAAATAATATGAAATGATGTTAACTGATCATTAATACATATAAATCTCTACAGAGAATAATTCATTGTTATAAGACGAATGATGTCTACAAGTAACAAAAACAAATATTTCATTCGTCCCAAAATAAGTGTCTCCATTTCTATTTTAGTTTGTCCCAAAGTAAGTGTCTACTTTTAAAAAATAATGTTTGCTTTCCAACTCTACTCTTAATTGTGAGTTAGAGAATTCATTGATCTCTCAATTATGAATAATAAAATTGTCTTTTAGTTAATTAAAAAGTGTAATGATTACACATTTATAAAATCATAGATATCTATTTTGGGACTTAAACATGTATTAATACAAAATTTAAAGTATAAATCAATAAATAAATGTTTTAAATACTAATCAATAAATGTTATTTACTATCATATTCTAATTATTATATTGATAATATATATATATATATATAGAGAGAGAGAGAGAGAGATAGATGAGTGATCAAATGAAAACCGCTTTCATTTGTGTAAACCAATCTCATCCATCTATTTTCTTGATCAATGGTCAAGATTAGTTTAGATTATATTAGAAAATTAAAAAAAATTAAAAAATTATTTTATAATCCCAAAAAAGATAAAATGATAATTTTGGTAGTGGTGATATTAATGACAACCATATCATGTATATCATAATATTAATGAAACAAAATCATTTGTAAAATAATATATTAATTTTATGTTCAAATATTATAAAAAAATAACATCTATCATTAAAATAGATCAACAATAAAAATAAA